TCATGAGGGACCAGAGTCTTACTACCAGCATATTCCCAGGGTTTTGCACAGAGACTAGTCCATCATAGGGCTCTCAAAAAACGTGTGCTGAAGGAATGAATAAACAAACGTATTCTTGAACAAGGGCCCTTCCTTTTTGCACTAGGCTATGAAGAAAAATACAGATTGCTTCACACACAGTAGATATGCAACACTATATTTAATAAGAAATGAGAATTACCCAAAAGCAAATAAGATTAGGGCAAGGAGTGGAAAAGAAGAATGGAGACTGCAGTATGATTTCAGACCAGAATTCACACCTCGGGAAGTCGGTATAAAAGGAAGTAATAGGAGAAATGTCTAAATGACTAACCAGTATTATTAGGCAGGCACAAGGGAAAGCACGCACACAAAAGCCTCCAGGAAAGATTTAAAGAAATGAGGAGCAGAAACGTCCAGTCAGAAGACTGGATCAATGCACCCATCATGATCTTACAGCAATGTAATACTGGACAATGACCAAGATATGCTACAAAAGGACTCCCCCACACCAGCCTGGGATCTACTGGAAGCCCTTTGTCATGGTTACCGCTTCTGGGATCGCCAGCTGTGCCTTACTCCCCTCTCTAGGATCTGGGGGAAGGTGTGGGAAGGTGTGGTCTGCAGTGACATCCTTCCTCCTGCTCCGCTGGGCCCCACAAACACTCAGGCCACCAGAGTCTCTGCCCACTGAGGATCTTCAATGTCAATCATCTCCCCATCCAACCTAGTGAGCTCAAGGATCTGAGAAAATGAGAAGCAGCCGCTTGCCAACAGATGCAGGGCTTCTGATGGAAAAGCTCAACAAACAAACCTAACATCCTGAAGATAGTTTTGTCCTTTCTTTTTAAAAACAATTTTAATGCACAAGGAAATCTAACTGAGCTGATCCTATCAGTACTCATTTTTTCCCTGAGTAAAAACAGACCCTTTAGGAACAGCTTTAAATTTTCCACGCATTGTGATGTTATCTAGTGTATAGTCTGTAACACTGGCCTAAGAGAGTATTTCACTCTACTAGATATTTCAACTGTCTAAAAACGCCTGTGTTACACTCCCTCATCCCACTCCAGGGAGGGTACACAGAGTACAAGCAAGCCCACCCCCAGTGTCTCTCACTTCCTGTCATCACAGAGACTCCAAAAAAGGAAAGGAGTGGAGGAAGAGGAAAAAATCTCACTGGAAGTGCTTTAAGAGAACCAACGTCGAATAACATAAAAATGAATGTCATATTACCCAATCCAGTACAATAAAATCTTACTCAAGAAGTAAGTTTCAGTCTTCTATGTTGTTTATGATAAAATATTATTGGAAGATATAGCAGATTAAAAAATAAATGTATATTTATTTGCTAATCTTTGTTTATAGGTCCAAGATCTTGTCTTGAGTGTGGATCTATTGAACTGCAAGTTGTCTTTCTTTCATATACCAGACTCATGATGCATGACCTATGTTTTCCAGTTCTAGTTTCTATAAAGAAAAACAAAAACCTGAGCACATTCATGATGTAATCTATATGCAAAGTCCTTCTAGACTTCTAAGACTCCCTCCCACTTTCTTCAGTTTGCTTATCCATATAATGGAGCAGAAATTTCTTTTAGGGACTTGAAATTATCGAGTCATTCCCAAGTGTTTGAAATACTTCTCACAAAACCATTCTTTTTGAACTCAAATTTCACTGGCTTACATCATATTTAATTACACTGCATAATTACAATAACAAGTCCGACGAATATAAACAGATACAAGAATAAATACAACTGACTCTATAAGAACAGGACTGGTTGGGAGGTCACATGGCCACATGGTCAGACCCACTGGCTCACAGAGTAACAGCAAGCATTCAACACACCAAGTTGGTTCAAGTTGGGTAAGAGACTGCCCACATACATCAGCTTCAAGCTACTGTAATGAATATATTAGTCATCATGAACACCCAAGCTTAAAAGATTTTAGTTTATCAAAATGTCAATAACAATTAGTAAAATTTGCAAGTGGGGGTATTTTCCTACTATCGATTCTTATTTATCAACAGGAAAAGCAGCCAGAGGTTTGAAGGAAAGGGAACTCGTTTTCACCCTGTTGTTGGGTCTGTCTGTTCTTCCATCTCTACCACTAGACTCTAAGCTCCCTGCACGTCTGGCTCCCTCATAACTGTATCACAGAACCTGACACTCGGTGAGCGCTCAATAAACGTGCTCAGTAAACTTGCTGAGTATGTTCACACATCCTAAACTGGATCCAGCTGGTATCACTGCTGGCCTATAAATAAAATTTTCCAGAGCTGAAAAAATAATGTTAGAAGATCTGATTCACAGTATATTATCTGCTGATATTTTCCATCTCTTTTTCTTTACACTGTATGTATGTTTCTTGACACTGGTTAATTATATTTATAAATCAGGGTCCTATTTATACTTACATTCCTATTGTATTAATGCTAATCATATTCAGTAAACTATTCTGTCTTGACTAAAGCCATTAGTGCCCATTAAAAAATAAAATTGGGTTGACTGTCCTATTGTATTTGAATTTCACATTCTCACAATGTTTTGCAGCTAATACTTTCTTTTTTTTTTTTTTTTTTTTAAAGATTTTATTTATTCATTTTTTCCCCCCAAAGCCCCAGTAGATAGCTGTTATGTCATAGGTTCACATCCTTCTAGTTGCTGCACGTGGGACTCGGCCTCGCGTTGGACGGAGAAGCGGTGCCCTGGGGCGCGCCCGGGATCCGAACCCGGGCCGCCAGCATCAGAGCGCACGCACTTAACCGCCAAGCCACGGAGCCGGCCCTGCAGCTAATACTTTCAGTCTCTGGCACTTCTACTGAGAATATAAAAGTTCTCCTGGAACTAACAAATTACTTCCCTTCCAACACAATTATATAATCTGAAAACTGAACAGCACCCTGGAGATTATTTTGTGATCCAAAATCCCTTCCAATCAACGGATCCCATCGAAAACTACTCAACTTTTTTGCACAGGAAGGGATATTTATCTTTAAATCGCACATCACAGAGTGCTGCACCAACAGCAGGCTCTTAATACAACTTGTTTAACTGAACCGAACAAGTCTAAAATGAGTCCATGTCATTCATTTTCTTGTTCTTCCTAGGCTTTAGCTGTAGCATCAACTGAATCTGTAATTAAAGATTTGCATGAATCTTCCGCTTATTAACCAATGTTCAAAAGGAAATTCAGGAGAGGAAACTCCATGATCAGTCAAATGTTTTAATATCAATGCTGCTAATGTCAGTACAGAAAACTTTAACAGAAAATGGAAAATCAAGTCTTGGTTAGTTTGCTTATGATCTATATACAGTTTCCAATTTATCCAAAATACTCACATGTTCTCAACTTCCAGTATGATTTTTTTTAACAAATGAAGTCTTGCATCATTCATACAACTAAATTATACATCCTTCCACTTATAATTGGGGTGCTCAGAGACTTAACCACAGTACTGTAGTAAGACATGTTATTATGCTAATTAGCTTTCCCTCCAGTTAACAGCCTGTGATCCCATTTGATTTCCCATAATATGATACGATAATGAAGAGAACAAAGCCTCTGGAGCAGGAACCACCAATAATTTTACTTTATTCAAGAATGTATTCCAAAACAGTACATAATTTACAGCATAGCCCTGCTTAGTACAATGCATCTGTTTTAGGGACTCTTACAACATATGCTAAGACACAAAGTATACATTTCCAAATCCCGCTCCCTTCTGTTTTGCTGAAAGGGAACACACACGATCCCTCAACAGCACAATTAGTGCTTTATTAACTAATTTTTTTCAGGCAATAATTTAAATTCCCACTTCCTCCTAAATATCTCTGGACAGCAACTCCTGGCAATCCATCTGTCTCTTTCATCACAGCTTCTTTTCATAACTAACGGGTCAAGTTCCTTTCCCCCATTTCAACACGACGCACTGTACTTGCAGCCCTGCCACCATAGCCCACTGCTGAACGCCGGAATATAACATATTGAATTTCACTGCCCTTCATTGTTTTCAGTTTAACTGCCATTTTACCACCATGCACACGAGAGAAACGCGTTCCCACAGGCATCTTATGAATTTCCAAAGCAGCTATTCTTTGTGGATTTACAAAACATGTGGCTTCTCTGAATTCCTTTTATCACCACAGAAACGGCTTTGGGAAGCTGAGATTTTTTTTTTTTTAAGTACCCCACGCAAAAAAAAAAAAAAAAAACTGATTCTAAGCATTCCCATTTTGCTAGTAAATTTCATCCTAAGGGCCTTGCTACAGGGCAGTGGAAGAATGTCAGGGCAAAGATTTTAAATACTGCTTTTGGCCTTCCCAATTAAAATGAAAATTTTTCAGCCCACGAAGATCATCTTATCAAACGTCCTTTCTTCTCAGGCTACACCGCAAGGGCTATCCAGCAGAGTGTAAAATAAACAATTGGCTTTGGCTCTTGCCTGACGCCCTAAATTTTCCTAAGACCCCCCCCCCCGCCCCGGTGGGCTCACGGACACAAATAATCTGGAGGCAAACCCCGAATCTATCAATGAAGCGGACTATTCCTCCGCCACAAAGGGCCGACCTGCGCCTCGTGCACGGCGGCTTCTGCACACATGTGCTGGGCTGACAGTGCGGACCTACCCTTCCTGCATCCGAGGCTGGAGGCCTGGGCCGAAACCCACACACTCTTCCCCACCCACTGCCTTCCACCCGCGGCCACTCTCCCAGTGACAGGCGGCGGGCTCTGAAGTGCCCCGGCCGCAGGCTGGCGTCCCTCTCGGCCCGGCCCGCGCCGTACGGCCCCGCTCAGACCCACTTCCCCTCCACCCACCGTCCTTTTTTCTTCCCCTTCTTCGCCTGAAGAAATTCCGTCGGAACTTCATTCGGGCCGAGCGGAGCAGCCCTGCCCGGGGCCCACCCTCCCCCGGCGGCCGCGCCCCCCGCGCCTCGGCCCCGGCGACCCCCGGCCCGCCCGGCTCGGCGCCTCACCTCCTCCTCGCTCTCGCTGCGGAAACACAGGCACGCGGCCCGCTTCTTGTAGCCGTCGCCGTCATAGGTGCGGGTCTGGTTCGACTTGAGCTTCATCATCCTCCGCGCCCGGCTGGGGGTGCGGTGCGGGTCGCGGGAGTCGAGGGTGGGGAGCCCGCTCCAGACGGCGGCGCGCGCGCGCGCCCCCGGCTCGGCCAAGGGAAGCAGGGAGGAGGAGCCGCTTCTCCGCTACACGGCCCCGCC